TCAAGTATCAGAGGGGTAGCCGTGTTAGTCTGAATCTGCAAAAGCGGCGAGGAGTCCTGTGGCACCTTATAGACTAACTGAAGTGTAGGAGCATAAGCTTTCGTGGGCAAAGACCCACTTCGTCAGATGCATGTCACGCATGCATCTGACGAAGTGGGTCTTTGCCCACGAAAGCTTATGCTCCTACACTTCAGTTAGTCTATAAGGTGCCACAGGACTCCTCGCCGCTTTTGCAGATTCAGACTAACACGGCTACCCCTCTGATACTTGATAGATAATCTTGATGTTTATTTTTAAGCATTTTTTCTATTTTTATATATATAAAAATGAACAGTTGCACAAAATTATGAGCACGGCAGAGGAGGCAGATGAGCTGATCATTATTAAATGACAGTAGATACTGAGATTTGAAAAATTAAAGCTTTAACATTGTAAAAACAGAAATTGTCAATGTCACATCAAACTACACAAAATCAACATCCTGAAATCAAACTCTAATATGTTCTGTAGTAGCATTTCTCTGACTTTATCTATCTATACATAATTATCATCAATGGAAATATTTTGGTCAGTTTTTGTGTGATTGGTGAAATCAGCATTTATTGATACAAATCAAATTCTTCCAAACCTAAATATTTACTTGAAAGGAATTGACTCCAGGCTGACATGCAGCATCCAATATAGGAGTTTTGTACAAAACAAATATGCAAACAAAAGATCATTACTTTCTGATACATATTGGAAAAAAAACAGTCCAAACAAATTTTTCTGTTTGTGTTTTTAAGGGGCTCAAAGTGAATGTCACTTATTTCTAGTACATGCAGTTTCCTTCCCAAGGCCAAAGCTGACTCGATAGAATATTGATAATTATCATGAGGCAGAAGCAGACATAGTAATTATTTCATTTAGGAGCAGCCTTTTATTCAGGTATCTGACTCTTGCCAACATTCCACTTACAACAAACAACATGGGGAAAAACAACAAAAACCTAATACCCACGACCATTTTTCCCCTTTTTTCTAAAGTTCTATGTAAAAAACCTAGCACACAAGACAAACTATGAAAAGCACCGATGATTAAGTAACCCACAGCACTCGGTCTCTCTTTACATCAAGAAGTCCATTAAAATCTGAAAGTGCCAATTAAGACCTGTTTATTCCTGTTTATGTTTGGGCTCCAGAGAATAATTGGCATCTGTGGGGGAAGAGGCCTATAAGGGCCTCTCTAATTGCATAAATGCACCCTTGATATTTCTTGATTGGTAGGTGCTTGCGATGGAAGACAAGAGGTGTATGGGAAACATCGTGCTGTACCTGCCCGCTTCCATTGAGCTTGTTGGTAAGTTTCACTTTGCTGAAGGAAACAGAGGCTTTCATCCAGTGTGCCCCAAAATTGGGAGAGTCGGGGTGGATGTAGACACAGCTGTGGCTTGGTGGCTCTTGTTTCCCTGCCGGCACCCATTCACCGTTCACATACTTCCAGCGGTGTCCGTCAGTGGGGGCAAAGTCCAACAGGAAGGAGTACATGGCATTGGGATCCAAGCCAGACACACTGACCTTTAAAACTGGGAACATCCTTCTGTAATGGAAACAGAAAACAAGAAGGGGAAAAGCATCATTAGTCCTGATAGAAAAGATAGTTGCTAGTATGTTTCTGCAAAGACACTGAGTTTTTCATTTCCTATTGATCAGTCAGAACCAGCCACAAAATGTTTCACCTGACACACGGAATTTCACCCCAAAATCATCCTGATTGATAAGACCAGGATTGATACTATGGTCCTGCACTAGTCACACTTTTATGTATAAACTAACAGGACTATCAGTCTTATTCTGCTGGACAGGTGAGGGGAAATCCCTATGCCACAAAAGTACAGATCTAGAAGGCAGCAAGAATTCAGATCTTACAACTGTAACTTCTTAATTTGTAGAAAACTATTAAAAACCATTCACACATCCCCTTTATCACTGACCAGCCAATGGGGAGTCATAACTCTGACTATAAACAAACTACAAGAAGACAGGCAGATTTCAATTTTTCCTTCACGACATAGACATGTGGGAACAATCACTAACATGGGAGGGGTTCTTTAGTCTAGCAGAGACAGGCGTAATGACCCATTGTCCGAAAGGCGAAGCTAGACTAATTCAGACGGGAAATAAGATGTGCATTTTTAATGGCGAGAGTAATTAATCATTGGAACAGTTTACTAACGGTCATGGTGGATTCTCATTACTAACAAATATTTAAATCAAGATTGGATGTTTTTATTTAAAAAAAAACCCTGCTCTGGGAATTATTTATGGGGAGATCTCTGGCCTGCATTATGCAGATCAGACTAGATACTCACAATTGTCTTTCTGGCCTTGGAATCTATGGATTATATATGATGCTTTAAAATGCATACGGAATAAGGCAGGCTTTAAAGCCACCTGCTATCTGTATGACTGATTAATGTGCATAGAATATGAGGAAGATTGTTTCAGTTAGGGCCCAAGCTAAAGTTCATTGGAGTGCATGAGAAGACTCCCATGACTGGTGAACTTTGGATCAGGCCTTTGCTGCATGAAAATACACATTTGTTGTGTAAACATCTTGTATAGGAATTTGTTCTATTGATAGCCAACCAATGGCTTTGCTTCATGGAATTTTAATTTTCTTGTTTTGTGTGTGTGGGGTTTGGGTGGGTTTTTGTTTGTTTTTTACTATTTTATTATACGGTATAATTATACATATAATTGTATACATACACACACACACACACACACACACACACAGAGTTGTAAAATAAACCCACTCTTGGCAGGGTCCTCCCCACACATATTGCCTCTTTCTTCCACCACAGCCCTACTCAACACACTTCCCTCACCTACATGGTCACTGCCCCTTTAGGCCCACACTTCTCTCATTCAGCTTGTAAACTGTGAGATGCACCGACTTCTAGTCATGTCAGGGATACATGTCTGCATGTAACAGCTGCAGGCGACAATCAAGCAGGAGGCTGTGGTAGGACGTGGGCCTGTCGGGAGGGGCATGCTGGAGAGTAAGTCTGGCGGTAAGTGGGAGAGCCGGGGGAGGGGAAGAGGGCTTAGGGAAATTGTGGCCTGTCCCGGGAGAAGTGGCATGGTGGTGGAGGGCTGTTCTGAAAATGATCAGGAGGCAAAGTGCGTCTGAGGCTCCATGGCTGGGATGAGGACTCGGTTTTCCATAGGGAAAATGCAGCTCAGCACTGATAGCTCTCCCAAGGGAATGCCTTTCCCTGTCGATCCATATTAATTGAAAACCTGGGCGATGCACCCAAACCCCCCTCAGTTTACTTTGGGGAAAGGTTGCTAAACTACATGTCCTACCACTGCAAACTATAGGAAGCAAGTGGTGAGGCTGAAAACAGGGGTAACCTGCAGGGCTGCAGAGAGACTTGTTGGGCCCCTGGGCAAAGTGGAAAGGGGCCTTGACTCCATGCCCTCAGACAGGGCAAAGCCTCAGGCAGAAGGGGAGGGCTAGGGCTAGTCTCCCCCCAGGCAACACATCGGGGTGCCCTGCATGGGGCTCCAGAGCAGCTGAACTGGAGTTCATTTACAAGTTCAGTACAGGTTGCACCTCTAAAATCTGAGACTCTCTGATCTGGCAACAGCTGTGGTCCAGCATGACCATGGATGATCAGAGAGTCACAGCGTGCTGCAGAGGGCTGGGGGCCCAGGAGCTGGTGTGCAACTCATTTGGACTGTGGGGGAGGAGATGGGAGCTAGCACACAGCTCAGATGGGCTGCGAGAGGTGAGGCAGGGACTTAGCTGGGTTGGGGGAAGGGGCTGCCAAGAGTCGGCACACAGCTCGGCTTGACTGTGGAGCATCCGGGAGCTAGTGTGTGGCTCAATTGGGCTGTGGGGGGAAACCAGGAAGCCTGGTAGGAAAGGACGGTGGCATGGGGCCAGAAGCAGAGGGCCTGAAATGACCTCCCCTGGTCCAGAAAAATCCCTCATCCAGGACCAGTCAGGTTCCAAGAGTGCCAGACCAGGTAGATCCAACCTGTACTATCACCTTAGAGTTGAATAAAGATCTTAACTGGTTAACGCACTGCAAAGGCTATTTCCCTGCTTTTGGTATTCACATCTCCACATCAGATGCTGTGAATGGGACACATCCAACCTGACTTAATTAGCTTCCTTAACACTGGACGTACAATTGATAGGTAACTGCTTTTGCTGTTATACATACCCGGGATTCTATAATTTCCACTCCAACTCATCTGATGAAGTAGGCTTTATGCACGAAAGCTTATGACCTAATATATATGTTAGTCTCTAAGGTGCCACAGGACTATTTGTAGTTTAACAACAGGTATGTCTGGCACTTACTGTGGCAATCAGATTGCAGAGGCCCCAAGGAGAGAAGAGATGGATTAAGCCCCAGAAGTGAATGGTTGATTTAACTGATTGTACACTGTTGCTGTACTGTAAAAACATATGGAGTGAGGTCTTCTAAGAAAGTCTGCAGTGTTCTGAACTTGATGAGTAGGAGGTTTGTACACACACCAAGGTAACAAATGCACGTCCGTGTCTAGACAGAAAGTTGTAAATTGTAACTGTGAGGCAACTTTAGCATCACCTCACAACAAAGCCGGGAAGCAACCAGGCAGGGAGGGGCTTCCTCCCAAGCCAGTTGTGTAGCTGAAGCCACCTTCAAGTACCCAGCCCTTTTCCAACCCTGAAAAGGACAACGATGGACCATTAAAGCTAATAGCAGGACACTGATGAGCGAGATGCTTTGGAACAATTTGTATAGTGGGAGTAGCTGAGAGCCATTGAACTACGCTGGAAACCCTGCGTATGATGGAACCCACTTCAAGCCGGGGGTGTGACAGACTCCTCAGCAGCCCTAGTTCCAGTCCCTATGACTGAGGACTTCCCCAATTGTAACTATAAATTACACAAGTCTGAAAGGGAAAAAAAGAGGCGTTGAGTAGGGAAGCTTTTTTAACAGGAGGCTTGAAATAGAAGTTTTCATCCAGAAACAGAGGGTTAGTTGCTAGGCAGGGGCTGTCCATGAAACACAAGTTTTGCCTTATAGGGTAGGGTGCACTTTGGGCACAAGGAAATTTGTATTAGACACAAGAGTTTATCTAATATGGAAACAAAGCCTGAGGTTGCAGCTTTCTGTTTATTTGCTGTGTAACTAGTCTGTTTGCTTCCCTTCCCCTTTCATCTTTGGATCTGTGGCTTTTCTGCTAAATAAATCTTGTTTAGTTTTACCTCAAACAAGTCTAGGAGGTGCAAATCCCTGGCGCATGCGTGCCAAAGGAAGCTGCTGTCTGAGCGCTGGTTTCATGCTTTCTGTGGTGAGGAGGCAGAGGGGAAAGTCTAAGTGCCCAGAATTTATGGAGGATGGCTTTGGGGAATCTCAGGACTGGAAGGATCATTGATGTTACCCTGCAGGGAACAACTAGGCTGGTGGAAGCTGGGGTGAGACTTGTACTTGGGGATAGGCCACTGGTGTCAGGGGATCTCTGAGCCTTAGCATCACATCATAAAAGCACCGCAAGCTACAGAGCAGGCAGGGACGGATATCCTTACTGGGCTGCATAATCTCCAGAACATCAGACATATCCATCTCTTCACTTCTGTGAGCCTCTAGTTACTGCTATGCCAGTCACATTATTATAATGGAGCATCACATAGTATTGGTTACATATCTCAGCTACAGTATCAAAGTCTCTAATTCTGACATGGGCACTTGGAATCACTGTGATTCACGCACATTGGGGATATACTGGCACCTGCTAGAGACTAATCAACCAGAAATTGTCAAGTTGTACATGTTATTATTGAACTGCTAAGTCCTAAACTTTAAGGTCATGCAGCTTTTGCCTTTCTATTCTGCCCTTGGTTTGGTATGTGAGCTTGCCCAAGTCACTTCATCACACTGGGGCCTCAGTTACATAAGAACAGTCATACTGGGTCAGACCAACCATACTGGGACAGCTGGCTTAGTACCCTGTTTGCCAACAGTGGCCAATGTCAAGGGCTCAGGAAGGAATTAACAGAACAGGTACTCAAGTGTTCCATCTCTTGTCACCCATTCCCACATTCTAGCAAAAGTTACCCCACATAACAACAGTTACCGATTTGATAGGGTGTCATCAGGATTACTTTGTGATTGTTCATAACGTTCTTAGAATGGGATTTCCATGCACATTCCTACTTTTGAAGTCAACAGGAGTTTTAGAGTTAGGCTTGTGCCATGCACTGTCACACTCTCCTGAAAAGCCCAACACAGCACTTTTCCTGTTATTTAAGATTCCCTAGCCTGCAAAAGGCCATGTGTGGCAGGAAAAAAGCTCTGCCAGGTCTCTCTCTGTCCCTCTGCATTCTGCCTGACAGTATATATTGTAGGGGCATTGTCTATATTTCCCCAGCTTACCTGCTGGTTTTAATTAAAATATACTTTTAGAAGTTCAAAGAGAGGTCTTTTTTATAAAAGCCTGCATGATTTTATAGTAACAACCCCAAACACGCTAATATCATCACTGTGTGTGTCTATTGTATTTCAGCATCTTTATAAGGCAACTTATGTTTTCTATTACAGAAAGAACCCAGTTCTGCTTCCACTGACATTAGTGACAATGCTCATTGACTTCAGGGGAGGCAGGTTCAGGTTGATGATGAATGCAGAATTTAGAACAAAGCAAAAATATTGATAATTTGATCAGTGCAATGCTATCCAAAGCCAGCCCTAAAGTAATCATGAACATCTGATAATATCAGACTCATCAAACTCCTTCTTTCTCATGGCAAAAATCATTATCCACATTGTCATTTGTATGCTTTACCTCTGGTAAAATATTATTCTGTGTAGGGATAAGCAGTATTGTCTACATTGAGTGCTTACCAGCTGGTCTACAAAAGGAATTGTTTTCACTGAAGGTATGATTTATACCTAATTTAGTTAAATCAATGCAAAGCTCTCTTATTTGAGTTTAAACAGGCTTGCCATCATTTGGCTTAAATCAATTAGGGCATGTCTACACTAGGAAATTATTTTGAAATAACTAAGTTGGAAATAATAATTCCCAAAATATCTATTTGGAAATAAGCTTATTCCCCAAAGAAAGCAGAAGTACAGATTTCTAAATAACCAGCCCATTATTTTGAAAGAACAGGCTTGGTAGTGTGGATGCTCCACTTATTATTTTGAAATAAGAGGGGTTATTTCAAAATAACTTCCTACGGCCGACCAGGGAATAGGAATAAGCATAAGCTAAACAGAAATAAGCCATTCTTATAGCAAAACAAATGCCCACATAGGAATTAGCTTTCCTTTAACTACATTCATTAACAAAACAATTGAATTTAAAGAGACACAACTTCTAAGTGTAGATGAGGCCTTAGAAGAAACCGACGTCTGTCTCTCCAGACATGTCACTATCGGGAATGAATATAATACTCGTGTGGAATCAGTTTAATATCTGTTCACTAGGGCTACGTCTAGACTGGCATGATTTTCCGGAAATGCTTTTAACAGAAAAGTTTTCCGTTAAAAGCATTTTCGGAACAGAGCGTCTAGATTGGCAGGACGCTTTTCTGTAAAAGCCCTTTTTGCGGACAAGCGTCCGTGCCAATCTAGATGCGCTTTTCCGCAAAAAAGTCCCGATCGCCATTTTCGCGATCAGGGCTTTTTTGTGGAAAACAAATCTGAGCTATCTACACTGGTCCTTTTGTGCAAAAGTTTTGCGCAAAAGGACTTTTGCCCGAAGAGGAGCAGCATAGTATTTCCGCAAGAACACTGACAATCTTACATAAGATCGTTAGTGCTTTTGTGGAAATTCAAGCGGCCAGTGTAGATAGCAGGCAAGTTTTTCCGGAAAAGCAGCTGATTTTGCGGAAAAACTTGCCAGTCTAGACACAGCCTACCTGTTTTCACAGGGAGGAAAGACTTCTTGAACTAATAGCTTGTTTTGATCTTTAATTGCTAAGATTCATGACAGGTGCATTCAGCTAGTAACACTCAGTTCAGCCAATGTCCACATTCTGCATCCAAAAATTGTGGATCTTAATCGCTTTCTGCAAGATTGACACATGCCACCCCCTTTCAGTTTGGATCTTTATTCCAATCCTTCCTTAAATAGGCACATCTTCTGTGAAACCTCCCCGTGCCAATCCACTAAAAGAAGTGTGTGCTCTGAAAAACAGAAATTTCTTCCCTGCTTTGTGGCCAGACCTTCCTTTGATCACACCTGGGTGGTACTGACCTAATAGCACAGTCTGCCCACTATGGAGTGGTGGTACAGTCCTCACTCCCAGCCCAGCAGAGCACTAGACTTTGCCACCCAGTAAGTTTCCAGGTTTAGCACTGTCTCCTTCTAGGCATTTAGGAGAGTGCCTCACACTGGTAAATGATCTATTCACCAGACTTTACGAAGGCAAAATGTTGTCCTCTGCATTGCTCACAATTCTTAGCTGCTGGGCACAACCAAAGTTCCAGATGGGTTTCCAAGTTCTCTGCCAAAGGTGATGGACAGCAGCATTGCTGCACTACTGAATCTGAACCACCCCTGTTTGTTGCAAACAGGCTTGTCTTGCATCCATTTCTTTAATGAATTGTTTATACAGGAGTGCGTATCTGCAGAGCAACAGAGACATGGGAGAGTATGGCTGGTCCAATTGGCTAGGAGACTTTGGTGCTAGTCAGAAATGTACTATTGACTGGTGTGAGCTCAGGCAGCTGACTCACCTTCCTCAGCTGTAAAATGGGATTATGGACACTGCTCCGTAAAGCACCGTCAGCCTGGGGGAGGAAAAGCTGCTGTCTGCACACTGAGTATTGTTATCAGAGGGAATCACTGGCAGGGTGTAGGGGGAAAGCTCTTGCAGTGAGGTTGGCAGGTGGGACTATTCTTCTCCTGGGAAATGTTTTTTACTGTTTTGTTCAGTCCTGATGCTATAATCTCTTCTTCACGTACCTCTCTCCTTAGTTTATAGGCCGTGTCTGAGACTGTCTTTGTCTCCCTGTGCAGCATTCAGGGGGAAACACACACACCCCCTAACAACATTAAACCATGGCTACAGTTTCCTTTAACCTACGTAAACAGTAGTTGCTAATATTCCCCATATACCGTAGGATACACTAATTACACTGGGGACAGTACAGCACTCACCTGCCATTCTTGGTCACGATCATCTCATTAGTGACTTCCCTGAACCTCTGCCACAGCGCAGCCTCCTCCAAGACAACCCGGAGCTGTTTCTCAGTTGGGTCCCCTTTGTCTCTGCCAGCTCGAAGTTCGCTCTCCACAACATTGAGCAGTCTGGAGACGGTGCAGTCACTGGGCTTCTTACATCCCATCTCAGTCATGGTGAACTGTCAGAAACTTCTCAGATGGCTTTTAAAAAAAAACACCACACCACTAAGTATACCTAAACCCAAGCCAATGAATTAGCCACACTAACAAATCTGCTGTCCCTGATCTTTGGCAGTCTACTCGTTCTTCCCCCCGGAAGTCCCAATGGGATGGTGACACCAATGTGCTAAGGTTGACACACATGCACATACAAAAAGAGGACTATCTCATAATTACTCATCAAGTCAGGTGGGAGGCAGCCTGATTACGCAATTGGCTGCCTGGGAAGAAGAGTTCTCCATCCAAATTAATGGGCTTTTATCTTTTTTCAATCTGAAGTGGGTCTAATTGTTCTGCTTGAGAACCAGGTTTCCATTAATGAAAATTGTTTCATTTCCAGAATGAAACAATGCATGGAAATTGTGCTTGTGCTGATGCAAACCCCCAGGCAAAGGGGGAATACTCAGCAAACAACATTCAAGATTGGTACAAAGAGGTTAGTTTTGCAAGCATTCCAGCAAAAATCAACATGTGCTCTCTCATCTCCCCTTTTTCTTAAAATAAAATACTAATAAAAGGCTCCTAATATACTTACATTTTGCCTGTGTGGTCTTGTGCCTGGAGGACAATTGAGTGCCTGTTCAAAATTTCAGGAGTCTAGGACAAGCTGCAGCTCAGATTTTTGGGATTTTTTTAAATGATACACCTCTCTTTTTGGAAAGTATAATAATAATTTCTGGTCATTCCAATGACATGACAGAGAACTTTATGCCTGTTTAATTCACTAGCCCTTGATGAGCTTTTATACACTTTTTTTTTCCTGAGAGCAGAAAGGACTTATTTTTTTAGTTATTTCATTGTTAGAAACTTATTCAGCCCCTGCATTGATAAAAGTCCAGAGCTCATTATACAGAGCGTTAAGGGTCTGGCAGTGTTTCATTAAGGTATATTTACGAAGTCCACCAGATTTTGCATGACAAGAAGTGGTGTAGTGCTACAAAGCACAATGGGCCAGTTTTTGAACCCCTTTTGTATTGAATAGTACAGGTTAACCTGTCTAGTCCAGCACCTTCCAGACCTGACCAGTGCCAAACATGAGAATTCACAGAATCCTGGGAGGTCAATAGGGGTTAAAGTATTTTGCTTTATATCGATCCTTTTCAGCCTGAATGTACCACATTCCGATTAGCTTTCATATGGAAAAAAAGAGAGTTAGGTTACCCTGTCAGTTCCAAAAAGTCATCTTCCCTCTAGTTGCAGTAAAGTGGCCCGTTCCTGCAGTTAATACTACCCCCTGGATCCTGATTGTCAGTGTTCTGGATTCTTGCAACACGTATTGAAGTCAGTGGGATTTTGGGGCGCTCAACCCCCTCTGACAATCCAGCCAGATGGCTTTTGAGGAGATGGGTGGAGGAATTTATAAATCAATAGTTTGGCTGGTTGTTTCTGCTGCATGGCAAGGCTAAGGAGTTTGTCTTTCTGTATGCACAAATGTCATAACAAGCACTTAGAGAACACAGGACAGGTGACTTTTAGTTGTTTATATACAGACATGGGAAAATACAATACAGAGATTAAAACTAGGTGACCTCTTTTGAAAATTCAACATTGATGCACAGATATTGTGAAAAACTATCAGTTTTTCAACTATCTCTAAAATAAATACAGATTTCCTGTCATTTTTATATTTACATTTCTCAGATTGCACCAAGGCGATTAAAGGCAAAAGTGATTTTGATGCGACCTTAATGTTAGGAATTTTGTTGCTCCGAACTCAGGAGAGTCTAAGACAGGGACTTGCAGCAGTGATAACCATGCTATTTCTATAGCAATAGTTGAGCATGGGCCTTTGACAGACAAATATTACAACACAGGGCTTGGTGTTCAGCGATACGGACTGCCCATCAGTCTCACTGCTTCCAGCTGCAGTGATAGCGGCTTAGCTTCACCTCTGAAAATCAGCGTCCCAGCATCAGCTTGCTCACATTTCAAGGCAAATCAGCATACACACAAAAATGACAACAGAACACAGCAGCTAGAAAGAGAAACAAGCAGGACAGCAGTAGGGGATACTGCCTCTGAATCCCTAGCAGCCAGTCATTTGCTGGTCAGAGGCAGATGATGGACTTTATTACTGTGATTACAGTGCTTTATTTGTGACACTGCAATAATTCAAGGGGCAGAGGGAGGGGTTGCTTTTTGTTAGTTTCAGCCACATTCTTTGGTGTATTATATTCAAGTGAGCACCACAGAATTCTTTAGGGCATTAACACAAAGACCACCAACGTTGAATCAGATGTCGAAAGCTAGCACCATGATCCATATTTAGGCCATCAAAACAAGCAGCCTCATTTTCTGAGGTCTTCAGCATCCAGCACTCGGAGGCTGCAGGTGCTGAACGCTTCCATAGTAAGTACTAGTTTAAATGGATCCTCGAGATGGCTCAAGGTGCCAAACTTTTAGTCCCCACATTTAAAAATGTCACCAAAGGGAAATACACTTCAGTTGCTCAACTGTCCTGGCATTTGCTCAAATAGAATCTCAATCTTGTTGCTGCATTGATATTTTTGGGGGGTTATTAAGCCAGCAGAGTATGTCCCTCCCTGACTAGTTGACGGGCTGGAAGTGGGACAGACAGACCTCTCAATAAGCCTCCAGTGGCCCAGCTTTTATTTTATCTTTTAAAAATTAGTCTTCAGGTGTTATGGTTGCAAAAATCATCAAACTGTGGGGTGAACATAATTGAGCTAGCAAGTCTGCTTGAATTTGCAGACAGCCTGAAAAATAGCTCTAAGGTGTGATCCCTCTCTACTGAGCTCAGAGAGAATACTGTAAGTGTCAATTATTCCACAGCTCATTAACTGATCTGAGAAAGGAGTGATAGAGTCATAGTAGGAAGATCTGCACCAAGGTGTGAGGCGCAGCCCCCTGGAGGGGCCCAAAAGACAAGCAAGTAGGAGGAGCACTGAGGATGCCGTAGGATGGAAGGCCTTTTGCAATATAGGGTTTCTGGGTGGGGTAGTTTCATTTTTGTCATATGGAGCTTAGCTTTTAGAAGTCTGGCAAATGTTGCATTCAAGGAAAAAATAGACAGTTTTCTTCTGATCTGTGATTCTGTATCTGATCCACCAGCAACTTTCTCATTCTCTCATCATGTAATGGTGCTAACAGCAACCCCTCACCAGGGCTCCAGCATCATGTAAGGGAGGAAATAGAAATGCCTTATAGGAATTCGCATGTCCTCACTGCCCCCAATGGAATGAGTTGTAGGCCAGGAAGCAGATAATAGACAAGTAGGCGGGATTGTTGGGGGAAATTTAACTTCGTATTTCCACTTTTTGTTTAAAGGGTGGAACCTTCCTTTTATTTTCCATGCTGCTAGGGAGTCAAAACCAGAGCACAGGAATTCGTGACTCCCTGCTCTATTTCCAAACCTCTGCGGAGTCTTTGTTTCCATTTGATATATAAAATAAAATGAGCCCAAGCCTGATATTTACTTGTGTGTGGTGCTGCGTTGACAAGGGAACACAGAATGCTAGTTATCTGCATTCACCAACCATTAAAACTTAACTCTGTCTTCCCCGTGCAGTTGTAGGTAGAGGGTGGCTGGAGGAGTAACATGCACGCCCTATTTGCATTTACTTCCAGTAGAACCTTCCATGCGCAAATTTACTGCCAGGGATAGTTGGGAAAACAATGGATATGCACCAAAAGCTAATATTTAGCTTCTCAACTTGAGCCTGTATTGGAAATTCAATTCTAGGCATTATACTCATCCAACTAGGGTGTACAAACAATATCATAGGACTTGTACCTAGTCAAAACGACAGGTTGGATCTCACTGGTCCAGCCCCTGACCAATCCCAGCTGAAGAATATTGCCAGACCTGGGGAGGTCATTTCTGGTGCCCCTGCTACCAGTCGCCTCCAGCTACCCTCCTGCCACCAGCCCCTCCTCACAGCCAGCTGGAGTACACGAGGCAGCCACTGCCCTGCTGGCAGCCCGGCCGCAGTGCTCCCTGCCAGCAACCCTCTACTGGGACTCTTCACAGATGTTACCACACCAGAGTGTCCCAGTTTAGAGAGGTTGAACCTGTACCTGATGCAGCTCAAACATCAAATTACTAGGCACTCCCAGTGAACAGCTAATGTCAAATCCCAAATCTATATAATTATTTGGTAAATAATGTTAAATGAATAGATCCAAGGAACTCAGATAAAAAGGGGACTGAGCACCAAAAATCTATTAAAATAAAACATTCACGGGGATATTTGTTTCTGATCAACAATGAACATACTTACCTAGGCATTGATGGATTATTTCTTTTTTGAGTTTTTAATCAGTCAAACTCAAAACCTTTTTGGCCTACAGCTGCTGAGACACAGAAGGAAAAAATAATTAGCAAGGCTTGTTCGCCACCTGATATTTGATAGCTGGTTTTTGTCTTCAGGCCCATGCTTGCAAATAAAAGACAACCCTTCTTGATAAAAGGAAATCCTGG